GGTGATCTGGATGCAGTTTTTGGTCATGGATCCGCTGAGTCTGGTGTCACCTGAAGATGTCAGACGAATTTATCTTTTTACAGATATAAAGTTTCAATAATGTGGCTATAAACAATACATTGCTCAGTTTAATGCCAGCCATATTTCGCTGCATGTCGACTGGTGAGTAACTGCAATTATATCAATAAATATAATGAAGCATAAACATTTTAAAAAAATCAACTGAAATCCTTCAAATACAAAATGGTTTCTTGCGGCCCTTTGTTGTCAAATCACCGGAAGTTGACGATGGTCACCTGACTCACTATTGTAAGTTCAAAATCGAAAATTAACACTTTCTGCCTACATACGAAAGATTTACACATTTTATTAAATAAGATGTTTATTCCCACATTATCTAAATTTATTACGGAAAGATATTGTTTTAAATATAAAGTTCTTCCCCTGACAAGTTTGATCATTCAGCCAAATACAAAATACAATGGAACCTTGGGATCCGGGTGTCTTTGGATACGAATATTTTCAGGGTACGATTACGATTTCGCCAATGTCTTTGCCCTGGGATAGAAGGCGAAAACCAGCTGCCAGATGGAGAGACGGGCGCTCTCGGAGTTGCCCAACAGAATCTTGATAACTAAAAATGCATTCGATCACGTTAATATTGTGGAAGAAGAACTTAAAGATAGTCAACAAGGCACTTGATGATGATAGACTGTGACACTATGGACAGAAGTAGCTCTGTTTTTCGCTGCCGATAAAAAGTGCCACATTTTCTGTGTTAACGAAACGAGATTTTTTTTTTTTTTTTTGTAAACGTGATTTTGAAAGTAATATGGGATGACTTTTGGTGGGCAGGAACGAATTAAATTTATTTACATTATTTTCAACAGTTTCCGGAGGTTTCCTGTGCATGTGAAATATGCAATAATACGTATAAAGTGTTTTCATGAATGTTTATCATTCAGCCATTAGTCAGTCGACAGATTATAATCATTGCACATGGAACCCGTTCAGTCCATAAGAGCTCGGATCCCTTCCTTAGTAAATCCCGCAGTGTGTAGCGGCTCACGATACCAGTTGTGTGTTGGTTTCTTGTTCTTCTTTGGCTTCCTGCATAGTGCTCTTGTCTGGCCACACTTTTTTTTTGTATGCTGTTCTTGCAATCTGGTCATGGTTGCAGATTCACAGCCATCCGTTGTTCTCGCAATCCTCTTACTTCTAGTAAAGCCTTCAGAATATCTGCATGGTCCTTGGCTTGAACACCCTTCACAGTAGCTTTACCTGCAAGCCTATCAGCCTGCTCATTTCCTAGAACGCCCGCGTGCCTTGGCACAAATATGAAACAGATTTGCGTCAACCCCGACCACTTTAGAGACTCCATCCACAGTCTTTAGATTCAGCAGGTCTCTAACATCCAGAGCCTGCTCACTGGGTCACTGGGAAAGCATGGGCGGGGAAAAGTCTGTGTCTACAGTTATCATTTAGCCATACTTTTGTGAAAACTGGGCAGACATGGTGATAATTCTACCGTCAGCGGAACTAAAGCTTCTGTGGTAGTTGACACATTTCCATGAAGTGTCATAAGTTATAAGGAATCCCTTCTCTTTGTCTTCCTCTTTCTCTCTTTTCATTAATTTTTCTTGATGTCACTCCATGTTTCAATTTCTCTTCACACACTGTGGGAAAAGTATTCATTACTCATTTGTATCCGTGTTTCTGTCTGTCTGTCTTGACATCCTTTCTGTCTCTGCGCATTTTGTGTGTATCTTGACTACGTTTCTGCTTGTCTGTGTATACTTTCCTTTGTTTGTGTGTGTATGTCTGTGAATTATTTTTTTCATCAGTAAATTTTTGTTTTCTGTATGTTGACTGTCCGTCTTCGTTTTTGTCTACCTTTATATGTCTATGTCATGTGTCTGAGTGTCGCCCATGTCAAAGATTTTACCACATCTTGTAGCCAGCAGCCTCAAACATTCGGCGATTGTTGGGATGCCTTCGGTGTCCGCCTCAAACTTGGCCTTGAAGTCGTGCAGGCACTTACGCAGGTCAATAAAGGTTGAGTACAGGTCGTTGTAGAGTTTAGCATGGTCCTGTGGGATACAGATAGATGTAAGGTCAGTGGTACTGTGGGATACAGATAGAGATAAGGTCAGTGGTACTGTGGGATACAGATAGAAATAAGGTCAGTGGTACTGTGGGACACACGTAGAGAAAAGATCAGTGGTACTGACGTTGGAACTACTGGGTAGCAGTGCTTGGGTACTTGGGTAGTAGTGACTTTAGTACTGGTGTAGCAGTTACTGGGCTACTAAGGCAGGGGCTATCTCAGCATGTGGGTAGCAGCTACTCGGGTAGCAGTTGCTGTGATAGCATTTACTGGGGTACAGGCGTAGCAGTTTTACGGAGTTGCAGATACTGGGTACCAGTGTAGCAGTTACTGGGGTACTAGGGTAACAGTTGGTGGTGAAGTGGAGTGGTAGGTACTTGGGTAACAGTTGGTGGTGAAGTGGAGTGGTAGGTACTTGGGTAACAGTTGGTGGTGAAGTGGAGTGGCAGGTACTTGGGTAACAGTTGGTGGTGAAGTGGAGTGGTAGGTACTTGGGTAACAGTTGGTGGTGAAGTGGAGTGGTAGGTACTTGGGTAACAGTTGGTGGTGAAGTGGAGTGGTAGGTACTTGGGTAACAGTTGGTGGTGAAGTGGAGTGGTAGGTACTTGGGTAACAGTTGGTGGTGAAGTGGAGTGGTAGGTACTTGGGTAACAGTTGGTGGTGAAGTGGAGTGGCAGGTACTTGGGTAACAGTTGGTGGTGAAGTGGAGTGGCAGGTACTTGGGTAACAGTTGGTGGTGAAGTGGAGTGGCAGGTACTTGGGTAACAGTTGGTGGTGAAGTGGAGTGGTAGGTACTTGGGTACAGGGGTAAGAAGCACCGAGATATTGTAGCCACAAGCGCAAATAAATTTCATTTATATCAGATGAAAAACGGAAAGCAGGCAGAGAAGGAAAATGAGAAAACCAAATAAATCGTAGGGAAAGAAGAAGAAAAAGAAGCAGAAGAAGAAGAAGAAGAAGAAGAAGAAGAAAAAGAAGAAGAAGAAGAAGAAGAAGAAGAAGAAGAAGAAGAAGAAGAAGAAGAAGAAGAAGAAGAAGAAGAAGAAGAAGAAGAAGAAGAAGAAGAAGAAGAAGAAGAAGAAGAAGAAAGAAGAAGAAGAAGAAGAAGAAGAAGAAGAAGAAGAAGAAGAAGAAGAAGAAGGAAGAAGAAGAAGAAGAAGAAAGAAGAAGAAGAAGAAGAAGAAGAAGAAGAAAAAAAAAAAAAAAGAAGAAGAAGAAGAAGAAGAAGAAGAAGAAGAAGAAGAAGAAGAAGAAGAAGAAGAAGAAGAAGAAGAAGAAGAAGAAGAAGAAGAAGAATAAGAAGAAGAATAAGAAGAAGAAGATGATGATGATGATGATGATGATGATGATGATGATAATGATGATGATGATGATGACTATAGTGAAAATTCTGAAGAAAAAGGAGGAGGAGCAGGAGAAGGATGGGGTGGAGAAGGAGGGGGAGATGAAAAGGAGAATAAGTAGAAAGAGAAGACTGACGAGTGGTCGGGGGTGGAAGGGGGGGGGGTGAATATTAATAATAATGTGAAATTATGAAGAATAACATCCTCTATTTTATAACAAAGAGCAGGTATGGACAAGAGACTGGGGGGAAGTCACGCTGACAAGGGAACGGCATGTTTTGTATTTGATGTCTCACCTGAAATGTCTTGTCCAGGGAGGGGACGGTGCTAATGGTTGATAGACTGACCGTGGTCAGCGCATCCAGGGACGATGCTGAAAGTGATACACACATGTGTTAGTGTTGGGCATTGTAGAATTGTGTCGGCGGTGGCGTGTGTGTAGGGTAACGTAGCACAGTGCACTGAAGTCTAGATTTGTGTTATCTTCTTTTCTTGCGTTCGACATTGTAATGGGGGATAGTTTCACCCTGATTGGGAAGGTTTGGGGGGGGGGGGGGAAGCCCCAAGTTAACAATAAAACCGAGAGAAGTCAGATACTCGGATTAAACGACGTTTGCAAGATACGGGAAGACCACGAGTTATCAAGTGGAAGTAAAGGAGAACGACCACAGGTCGCCACGTACAACCCCAAAACAACCATGTGTTGCCACGTGGAACGAACACTGGGTATAACACCAGACCCCAGTTAGTTTGAGTTAGTATGTGTTGACTGTCGGAGTGAAAAGACGGGAAAGTGATCGAGAGAATGACAACGTGAGACTGATTGCTGCGAGAGGAAGATGAGATGCCGACATCCATTGAAGTCAAGACCAGCCAGGCCAGTCTGTGTGACGATGAGAATAGCCAGACCCATCTGTGCGAGCTCTGGTCTATGATTGTGTGAGAAACCAGCATGTTGGAGTCTGATTGATGTGGTGCGTGCAAGCTGTAAACTAGGACTCGGACAGGACGTTTATGTAAGTGAAAAGATGTCAATAAACTGATGTATCGTACTGTCGGTGTCGGTTTGTCCCAGTTATGTCATCGTAAGAATGTGTGCTAAGAGCATTCACTAGAGTCATCATCTCCTAGACAACGAGTCATTGCAAGTAGAAGACAGCTCATTGCAGACATCAGCCATGCCAAACATTCAGTCCCGTCTGGGTTATGAAGTCGTCCCCATGTAAGATGCAATATTTTTGTGTTAATTGAAGCCCTGCCCTGGCCCTGAATATAGCCGAGGCCTAGATATGGCCTAGCCATAAATATTAGTCGAAACTAGTTTGTCAAACAGTGCGCCAATTAGTGTAACATTTTAGTGACATCAGAAATCTGGAGCGGATGCTGGATTGCAGAAGGGAGTGCACTTGTCTTAGCTCTGCAGCGTGTGCACATGTCACATACTGGTATAGAGAGTTGTTCTAGGGTGTTTAAAGGTATATTCCCCAGACTCTTATTTAGACTGCATCTGTAGCAGAACTGTCAGTGATGACCTCAGCCTGAATGGTGTAGAGGCACTTCTCTTGAAGCATAGTGAGGGCAGGGTTTTTTGTTGTCCCTCCGTCTGTGCGTATTTTGTAGTGAACCCTGGCACTTATTTGGCTTCATTTGCCAGTTTTGCTTAGTATTTCCTGCTCCCCCCCCCCCCCCCTCCAAAAGAAGACTATCTACACCGATTTCATCACTAATTAAAACGACAAGGGGCGGGAAATTTAAAAAAAAAACAACCTCAGGAAGATCACCAGAAAAACCAAGCTCTTTAAACAGCAAGGCTAGCTGTAGTCTAGGTGGCAACACAACCATACTCACTCAGTTCGTTCTTCTCTTGGCCTGGCTTATGTTGTCTGGCTGATCGTGCCGGCAGCCCAGGGGATATCACCGGAGCTTGCGAAGATGGTTGAGTAGCTGCAGATAGTAGTGGAGTTTTAGCCGTGGGTGCGACAATATCCTAAGAAACCAAAAATGTGAAGAATGTGGTAAACGAAAAAAAAATTCAAATAATTTCAATCTTATGAATGCAGTTTAATTAAGAAGTCTCTTGCCATTTGGCTTCTTATTTTTTTTTCTCTTGACATCTCACTGATACCACGTTGTCGCCCCAGTCTCGTGGTTTTGTCGTCTCACTAATACAAGGATGTCGCCCCAGTCTCGTGGTTTTGTCGTCTCACTGATACCAGGTTGTCGCCCCAGTCTCGTGGTTTTGTTGTCTCACTGATACCAGATTGTCGCCACTGTGTCGTGGTTTAGTCATCTCACTGATACCAGGTTGTCGCCCCTGTGTCGTGGTTTTGTCATCTCACTGATACCAGGTTTGTAGCCCCTGTGTCGTGGTTTTGTAATCTCAGTGATACCAGATTGTCGCCCCAGTCTCGTGGTTTTGTCGTCTCACTGATACCAGATTGTCGCCCCTGTGTCGTAGTTTTGTCATCTCACTGATACCAGGTTGTCGCTTCTGTGTCGTGGTTTTGTCATCTCACTGATACCAGGTTGTCACCCTTGTGTCGTGGTTTTGTCATCTCACTGATACCAGATTGTCGTCCCTGTGTCGTGGTTTTGTCGTCTCACTGATACCAGATTGTCGCCTTGTGTCGTGGTTTAGTCATCTCACTGATACCAGGTTGTCGCCCCTGTGTCCTGGTTTTGTCATCTCACTGATACCAGGTTTGTAGCCCCTGTGTCGTGGTTTTGTAATCTCAGTGATACCAGATTGTCGCCCCAGTCTCGTGGTTTTGTCGTCTCACTGATACCAGATTGTCGCCCCTGTGTCGTAGTTTTGTCATCTCACTGATACCAGGTTGTCGCTTCTGTGTCGTGGTTTTGTCATCTCACTGATACCAGGTTGTCACCCTTGTGTCGTGGTTTTGTCATCTTACTGATACCAGATTGTCGCCCCTGTGTCGTGGTTTTGTCGTCTCACTGATACCAGATTGTCGCCCCTGTGTCGTGGTTTTGTCATCTCACTGATACCAGGTTGTCGCCCTTGTGTCGTGGTTTTGTCATCTCACTGATACCAGATTGTCGTCCCTGTGTCGTGGTTTTGTCGTCTCACTGATACCAGATTGTCGCCTTGTGTCGTGGTTTTGTCATCTTACTGATACCAGGTTGTCACCCCTGTGTCGTGGTTTTGTCATCTCACTGATACCAGGTTGTAGCCCGTGTCGTGGTTTTGTCGTCTCACTGATACCAGGTTGTCGCCCCTGTGTCGTGGTTTTGTCATCTCACTGATACCAGATTGTCACCCCTGTGTCGTGGTTTTATCGTCTCACTGATACCAGGTTGTCGCCCCAGTCTCGTGGTTTTGTCATCTCACTGATACCAGGTTGTCGCCCCTGTGTCGTGGTTTTGTCATCTCACTGATACCAGGTTGTCGCCCCGGTGTCAAACCCGATCAGCACACAGTGTGGACATGTGTCCGTTAGAGTGCTTGTAAGTACAAAAGTAAACAACTGTTTTCCCGCCTTCGGGTGTATTGGTTACATGAGGTTAGATCTGTACTTTATAGACCAATCGGCACTCGGTGGGTGATTTGATCAACATCACGCCCACCGCCTTGGCTTCACAGGACTGTACCTGGTACCCACTCAAGGCTAAGGCCATTTTTGAAGAAAGCTCGGTTACGTTAGGACCCGAACCCACGACCTACCGATCAGCAGGCGAGAGTGTAACCCCTACACCACGGTGACTCCCCCAGAGTGCTGGTACTGCAGAAAATACGCTGGTTGTAAACAGCTAGAAAACAAAAGTGCACGAGAACTGGTTGGAAACGCCGCAGATACTTGAAGTGTGGAGGCTCAGAGACAGCTGATCGTTCAATTCAGTAATCTCTCGGGACTGCAAGCTGCATCAGGGACGTGTCACCGTTAGGTTTTGCTACACTTTAACATTTTCTGACGTTAAACGAGGTCGCCTGGATTTGCCGTCTGGGTTTGTCACACAGGTTGAGACTCTTAGCGTCTTCCGGGTGGTCACGTTTCGGGGGGGGGGGGGGGGGGGGGGGGGACAAGATTACACTGACATCGACCACAACCGGAAGAGGATTAAATATTGAATATTGAATTCAGAATCGACATCACAGCACACAGGAACTCCCATAAGCGCTTAGTCCCCATCTTCATCAGCAAGAGTTCTAGTTCCGATGACACCCGTAACTGTCTGATTGTTCATCCATCTCGCCTTTCCCGTGAGCGTTGAGCGTCTGCCAGATCCCCTGGTAACTCCCCGCAGCGCCATAGTGAGGGTACTGCTGGGGTGACCATTTGTTAACCCCTCACATAATGCTTCAAGTCACAGTGGACACTAGGCACGACCACTTTTTTTTTTTTTTTTTAAAGCCGTGGCAGTTCTGCCAGGCGGTGGCCGTTGCATTTTTGCTCCATTTGTAGACTGGAAGGATATAGTTTCGTCACCCAGCTTCTGAGTTGAGTGCATGGTGTGACACTGTGAGCTACGAGTGTTTTTCGTTGGCACAGGAGCGGAGCAACAATGGGGTGACCCGTTTGCTATGATGCTGAAACTAGGATTACCAGATTACCAGATTACCGCAGCGCCATTCTCCTCAGACCGTACTGATCTGTTTGTGACTTCTCACTGTTCATTTGCTTCAAACTAGCCCTGACAACATTTAGCTTGTCATGCATCAATTCATGACCAGGTAGTCGACTGACTTTTAGTTAGTGCAGAACTGGCCATGGCCAGTTTATCTGCCTGCTCGTTTCCCAACACACCAGCATTCATTCATTCATTCAGTAGCATGTCCCTCGCGGAACCTCGCTGCCATAACAACCCTCCGGAAAACCTTCCTATCATGAGCAAGATGTCCTGCGTCTGATACACCCATCTGGAGATCATCTGCCACATCCTGCACCCATCTTCTCCTTGGCCTTCCTCTTCCTCTCTTCCCAGGCATATACCCCTCCATTATTGTTCTCTCTAGACCTCCATGACGTTTCAAGTGACCAAAATATTTCAATTTTCTTTGTTTTATTGTCTTTACTAGCCAACCCTCTTCAATATTTAGCTCTTGAAGTATGGGTGCATTTGTTCTTTTCTTTACCCAAGATATTCTTAGAATCTGTCTGTAACATTTATATTCAAATGCATTTATGCGCTGTTCCGCTTGTTTAGTAAGTGTCCAGGTCTCACAGGCGTATGTTGCAATGGGAAAGATGCATGCTCTTAAAAATCTGACCTTTGTAATTCTATCTGTACAATTCCATAATTTATTCAGTTGTTTTAGTCTTTGAAGAGCAATTGATAGTCGCCGTTTAATTTCTTTCATTGTGTCACCATTGTTGGTAACCAGTGACCCAAGATATTCGAAATTTTCCACCACTTCCAATCTTTCTCATTAACATATATTTCCTTCTCCATGGCAGTTTTGTTTGTATGCATTATCTTTGTTTTTGCTGTGTTAAGAAATAAGTTATGATTTTCACTATTTCTTTGGAGTGAGGTTAATAAGTTTTCTAAACCATTTTGTGATGTTGATAGTAATACTGTATCATCAGCATAACGAATTTCTGGTATTTCATTACCACCGATGTTTAGGGCATCATATTGTTCCTTGTTTATATCATCTCTTACATTTCTCATTATATTTTCGGCGTACAGGTTGAACAAATACGGTGACAGCACACATCCCTGAAGGACTCCTTGTTTGATGCCAAACCAGTCTGATGTCTCTCCATCTATTCTGACTGCTGCTTGTTGGTCTTGATAGAGCATTTTAATGAGCTGCACTATATGTGATGGAAAGCCCATATTCCTCATGATTTCCCAAAGCTTCTGATGTTGTACACAGTCAAATGCTTTTGAATAATCCACAAAACATAAGAAACAGATTTACATTAAATTCTCTACACTTCTCTATTATTAAACGCATGTTGAATATATGATCTCTTGTTCCCTCTTCCTGTCTAAATCCAGCCTGAGCTACATTAATCTCTTCTTCCATTTTCTTTTGCAGTCTTCTCATTATAATTTTTAGTAGAATTTTACTTGCATGACTGATCAGGGCAATAGTTCGATAGTTTGTACATAATTTCAGGTCACCCTTTTTTGGTATTGGAATGAAGATAGTTCTCTTCCAGTCTTTTGGCACACCAGCATTACCTGAAGAAAATATCCAAAGGACGCTATCTTCAGTCTAGCTAACCTGATGTTGATGATGACGATGATGATGATGACGATAATGACAATGGTGATGATGATCATGATGATGAGGATAGATTTCAAAAGGTTTTCGTCTATAATATCAAGCCGAATTTGGATGTATGGACCGAAATCCTTCAGTCTCACGACAATGTGCGACGTTGTTCATACAGCCATTCATAATATTTGTCAAATGATTCTAGCCATTTTTGGCTGAAAACAGTATAGCTAACTTGCTGATAAACCAAACTGCTTGTCGCCATGGCAACTGATAAGATTACAATCAAAAACGAGGAAAACAGTTACATTAACGAGACAAACTTGCCTGTTTAGGGTTCAAACAGTCACAGCAGTTGCCCATGGCAGCATCAGGCCCACAGACAAATCAATGTTCTCTTAATCTAATCAACAAGATTTGTTTCGTATCTATTGTCTTTTACTGTTGCCAAGCACACTGCCAGTTATTGAACGAAAGTTCGAAACATTACGACAGTGTATCTTCATCGTTTCATCCAAGCACTATTTCATCGACTCTGCAATGTAGCATTGGCAATCCTGTGCGCTAACTCCGGTCACAACCTGTGAACTGTTACAGTACGTGCGTCCAAACAAACATCCTTAGTTCAATGCATAGTTCCAGCGATTCCTCGACGTTATCGTTGACAATCCAATGGTCTGTGGACAAACATGGACAACAGTAAGTTTCATACATTTGTCTACAGACTGTCATCTATCTTAGTCGTACTCATAGTCTTAGTCGAGATTTCAGCATCACTGTAATCAGGTCACCCCATACTTGCTCAGTTCCTGTGCCAGTGAAAATGCAATGAAATGTCCCTCACGAACGAAAAAGATTAGTCCCGACACAATCGAGAAATATTCGGACGCAATAAACGCATATGACAAGTTCTAGAGGTGCCAAAGCGGCAGTGGCATGGTACAAAACTAACTAACGACTTAACCCACTAAGAGACTAAGACATTAATACTATCAAGTATCCAATAAAGGTGGCTGGATACACACACCAAATTCTCTCCTCGAGATTTGCTTAATCGCCTGTCTAGAGAGGGACAGTGTATTATATTCAGACTAAGGACAGGGCGCAACAGACTTCGTCAACATATATATGTTCGTTCAAACGTTTCGGTGCTGGGAACACGGAGACGTGTCCCTGCAGCGGGCACCCGAAAATGCTGATCATGTGCTCCTACAGTGTCAACTGTTTGCTGACAGAAACGCATACTGGCTTGTCCCAACTACAATGAAGATACGAGAAGATATGGACTGCACGATAGCTTTCATAAAGGCTACTGGACTCCTGAGATATAAGTGTTCTGACAAAAAGATCGTCGAAGAAGAAGAAGAGGAAGAAGAAGAAGAAGAGGAAGAAGAAGAAGAAGAAGAAGAAGAAGAAGAAGAAGAAGAAGAAGAAGAAGAAGAAGAAGAAGAAGAAGAAGAAGAAGAAGAAGAAGAAGAAGAAGAAGAAGAAACAGAAAAAAAGAAGAAGAAGAAAGCCTCACAGAAAACACGATCCCAGTAGCGCCGGCGACGATCCCTATGGATCTCCTTAAAAAAACACACGTGAACTGAACTACACAGCTGTGAGACGAACCCACGACCTTCAGGGCTCGAGGCAAATGGCTTGACCACTTCGCCACCGGTGGTCTGCAACCTTTTTCAGCCCCCCCCCCCCCTCCCCACCCACCCTGAATATACGGCAAGATCCCTATGCATCCCCTCCCATCCCCGAGTATCTGACAAGAACCCCATGCATAAGCAGTTTTAAGACACATATTTTCTTATTTTATTTATAATTCAGCTGGAAACAAATATGAGGGACTATTACAAATACAAATGTACCCAATTTCAAAAGCCCAGGTTGTTGACCACTGACTAGATGCACCCGCCTACTCACCGACGGTGGTTGTTCTGTTGTCTGACACAACTGTCTCACCCTGTAGCTACAACAAAAGTCCCTCGTACGTGTGCTGATCATTATCAAAGACAGACATGACTCGATCAATTTTTAAGCGGGATATATTACTAATAACAAATAACACATAAATATTGATACTAATGTGTAATCTAGGTGGTATTTACACCGGAAATTCGGACAAGGGACAGGGTGGGGGTGGAGGCATAGTCAAACAGCTTATGTGCTTGATTGATAGGTCTGCTACCAGATCAATCAGGTAGTCTGGACGTCCAGATTACTTCCCCTGTGGCCCAGATAATTACACAGATAACAACACACTAATTGATATGGTGTAAAAAAGTGGCTCCCACAACTGGCGATGGCATTCTGTTTGAGAGGAGAATTCGTGGCTTCTATAGAACATATTTTCTTGTTTACTTTTATATAAACTGAGGGAGGAACCCTCGAGGCTGTAAAAATATTATATATATAATACGCAAACAGAAAATGTATTGATGGGCACTTATAGAAAGAAGTAGAAAGATAGGATACACTAGACAACATAAAATCGAAAGCTAACCGTGCTGGGAATCGAATCTGTCACCTCCGAATGGGGAGTCAGCCTCGCTACGGAAACAAGTGCACTAAGAACACCACCAACTAGGCACCCTAAAAAAGAATGTCTTCGTTGGCCATCTGTAATGTACAGCTTGAAATCCACAAGTTTGGAATACGGAGAGAATTCATCTCAGATCATTGAAATGGCACCAGAGTTACAGAAATTTAAATTAACCAAGCATATCTCGAATAACAAATACAACAACAATTACAAATATATGGGACCGTAACGCTGTGTCTAGAATACAACAAACATTTAAGAAAGATATTTGATTGGTCGGTTCCATAGTGTTACACGTAATTCACATAAATAAACAGAGGGCGGACCCTTGAGGCAGTAGATATCTATGTATATACATACATCTACGTCGTGCGAGGTGGTAACAGGGCAAAGTAGGGGATTGCAAGGACTGGGAGAAGTATGGTGTAGCCTTGTGCCACGGGACCGCTACGGGCCATCCTGGGTCACCCCGAAAAGTCCTAGCCAACAGGGATCTGCTGAAGTTGCGACAGGCCTAGCAAGCCGACAATGGATCTAATACCGCTACAAATAGAATGAGATATGACTGGTCAAACGGCGTCTGACCATGGAAATGTTAAAGCAACAAAGGAAGTCAAGAAGAAGAGAGATATATAGTAAACAACAGACAGTGTATTGATCGGCTTACATAGAAAGAAGCAGAAAGATAGAAAGACATACTAGACAACATTATTATAAACAGGATTCCTCGCCGTGTGCCGTTCAGAGCCAGCGTCTGTCCCTCAACTCACCATTTCCAAAGATATTTGTTTCAAGTGTATAGTTGACTACACACATGAAACTCTCCTGTTTTTCTAGAAGACAATTGAAACACTGATAACAAGTTTATAACGGCGGGGGGGGGGGGGGGGGGGGGCGGGGCTCAATTATTTGTTGTTTCAAAGCCCCAAGATGGCTGCTGCCGGGGACCCTAATACAAACCAACCTATGGGCTGAACCAGGTTTCTAGAATCTATCCGAGATGATCCTCATCCGAATGGTGATACTTTGTATCACCGGGTATTTCTCGCTTGTGTGATGACCTGGTAAGGTTGAACGGCATCATCATCATCATCATGTGACATTAACCCCTCTGTCTGACCTTTGTCCTTTTAAGTGACATCATCATCATCATTCGCCTTTCCTCTCAATAAATCTGGTTACGTGGTGTTCTAAATCATTCCCCTTACCAACTCTGAGATCATACGACGTCAGTTGTCTTGGTCCTGCCAAACTGCAGAAATGCCCAAGGATGAGTCCTCACTGACAGGACTGAAAATAGGCACAAATATGTGCTTTTGAATGTGTGTATGTACACGTGCGTGCGTGTATATGTGTGTGTTAGCGGGGGGAAGGGGGGGGGGCGACAGGGATTTTCCGCACAAAGTACTACGGGCCTTGCTATGCGACTGAACACACACACACACACATACGCGCGCGCACACACACACACACACACACCGCATGTCCAGGGCGATATTCTGTCAAATATAGGAGTTAAAACAATATTTTGGAACACACAGAGTTAACAATCTTTCATAATGAATGCATTAAATTCTTGTCAGACAGCAGCCGATAAAACAGTACATGGCGTAGTTACCAGATACGTGACTAAAGCTAGCGTAGTTCTATTAGTCTGTTGTTGTGCTTTCTGCATACGGCTGCGACATGTGCTGTGTGGCAGTATGGTCAGTCTCTCACGTGCAAACATTCAGTCATGGATAAAACCTACATCGATCACGTGTGTGTCATTCACTCTTTGTCCACCCAATATGTTAAATGATGAAAAAGTAGACAATGAAGACATGTCAGTCCTGTATGTTTTGTGAAGCAAAAAGATGACAATAAAGATATGTCAACCCTATATGTTATGTGAAGCAAAAAGTAGACAATAAAAATATGTCAGTCCTAAATGTTATGTGATGCAGAAAGTAGACAATGAAGATAAGTTACCCTATATGTTGTGTGATGCAGAAAGTAGACAATGAAGATAAGTTACCCTATATGTTATGTGATGCAGAAAGTAGACAATGAAGATAAGTTACCCTATATGTTATGTGATGCAGAAAGTAGACAATGAAGATAAGTTACCCTATATGTTATGTGATGCAGAAAGTAGACAATGAAGATAAGTTACCCTATATGTTATGTGATGCAGAAAGTAGACAATGAAGATAAGTTACCCTATATGTTATGTGATGCAGAAAGTAGACAATGAAGATAAGTTACCCTATATGTTATGTGATGCAGAAAGTAGACAATGACGATAAGTTACCCTATATGTTATGTGATGCAGAAAGTAGACAATGAAGATAAGTTACCCTATATGTTATGTGATGCAGAAAGTAGACAATGAAGATAGGTTACCCTATATGTTATGCCCGGAAACTGCAGTGGTGTAACAGCAGGAAGCTAGCCCGTGGATCTCGAGGTCGTGGGTTAGGGTCTTGGGGTAGCCGGACTTTTTTTTTCTCTTCAAAACTTATCTTAGCTCCAAAGTTGACCCAGCTTTAGGTGGGTAGAAGGTAAAGTCTTGGGAAGTAAATATGGCCGATGTCATCTTGACCACATCACCCACCGAGTGCCTACTGGTCTATAAGATGTAGGTCTAGCCCTATATGCCCGATACGCCTGAAGGCTGGGAAGAGTGTCATTAAATATTATGTCAGAACATCAGCTATGATGAATTAAAGATTGACCGAATATGCCGAAGTCGGTCTCTTCTACGATACAGCACAGATCTCTTAAGGCGATCTCAGATGTGGCGAATTGCTGTTGTGAAGAACAATTTGTTTATCTCTGGCAATTT